CACAAAATTTCTCTCTCTCTCTCTCTCTCTCTCTCTCTCTCTCTCTCTCTCTCTCTCTCTCTCATAGAGGGCATTAACTTGGGAGAGGGCTTCTGGCTTTTATCATATTCTCAAATACCACCTCCTACTGTTCCATTCCTCAATTAAGAAATACTAGGATGCATGATCTCTCAGGATCCTGCTAGCATCAGTAATTTGGGATTCTCAAGAAAGCCCAAAGGTGATTTAACACCATCTGACAGATCCGTGTAGTTAAGAAGTTAAGATACGTATGGAATAGTTGACTCTAAACTCCATAATGAAGCAAAAATATGGTCATCCTGCAATTTGCTGTAGGAGCTCACTCTTGGAATTATAAAGATGCAGTTTAGTATGCTTTCCTGTGTGTCTGTGGTCCTCTGGACACTCGTGGAGCATGGGGTTCCTCCCTCAGCCTCTTGCTCATCCTCCCCCCAACCCATGGGACATACAGTGGTCAAAGTGGTCTGAGAGGGTATGGTCTCAAAAGGGAGAGGGGGTGGAGTGAATGAGAAGGTCCAGGGAATGAGCAGTTTGTCCTGAATTCACCTACTTGGAAAGTCCTATGTTTGGCATTGTAGCATTAGACATCACCAAATCCAATGTTTAATCAAGGTTTTTATAATCTTGTTATGAATTCTCTTTCTAAGGATTGCATATTACATTCTTTTCTTTCCACATTTTTCCAAATAGCATGTGAAGTAATCCATCTGGAATAATGTAAGTTAGATTGCCTTTGAGGTCCACACCAAAAATGTGAAGGAGTAATTTATGGATGGGCAAAATTAGGCTTACACCCCAGGACAATTAGCACTAATCCATGAATCTTGGAAACAAATTTGACCTATATCTCCATTCAAGCCCAACTGGCTTTCAGTGATTTGAGGTGTTATTTGGGCACTTTTCTGTTTGCTCATGAGCATAAAAAGCTTTGGCTGTAGACCATGGAGTTAAGGAAACAAAGCAAGGCTTTAATTCTTGGGTTTCTTAGAGGTGGCAATGAGACATTTTTACTTATTAGCTAACATTTGTTGAACACTTAATATCTCTTAGGTTTTCTTTTAAGGTCTTTGATGGCAATGTTTCCTCTACGTATCACAGTAGTCTTATAAAATAGTTTTTTTTTTATTTCTCCCATTTAGCAGATTAGAGAAGAATCTCATAGATATTAAACAAATTGTTCAAGGTCACAGAGGTAGTAATTCAGGGAGCTGCAAGTCAACTTTTGCATGGCTTGTGTTGCACCCATGTGAATAAAAAGAACTACTATAGCTTTTAAATTACTAAGTTTTCCCCAACTTATATTGTTGAGGGTCTGAACAAATTGGTTACTTATATTACTCATCAAGAGAAAAATTTATGAAAATCTTTTTCGTCTTGTGTAATTCATTACCCTCCACCCCCACAGTTACCATTATGTTATGGGGACCTTTTGGTTAACTTAAATTTTGCTTCAAAAAAATCATTGGACCTTGTATTACTTCAGACATGGATATAAAGATGATTTCCAAAGGCATGCATATAGCTTTGTGGAAGGGCTCTGTAGAGGGACAGACAAGTAGGGAGAGATCCAGGGGCCAGATGAAAATGAACCAAGCTTCAGGCCATCAAATGAAGTAAAAACTTCAAGGGGATGACTTTCAGTTAAAGATGGAGTGATAACAGTCCCCCAGGATAATTGTGCTTGGCTGGTTTGGGTATGTCAAATGAGGGTTATTTCAAGGGCACCTTTTTCTTTCTGTTAAAAATAAAATATATGTCTTCTATGAGTTTCAAAGTATAAAGAAGGTAAAGACAACTTTCCAACTTCAGTATATTTTTCCTTTGATGATTCTTTTGGCAGACAGCTGGTTCTAGGAGAGGCAGAAGGCTAGCAATGGCAAGATATGACAAATTTGGTTGAATGGCCAGAGTTAGGCTAGCCCTCAGTAAGCCCTACTTCATTCAGGATTAGCCTTCTGGATTTATTTAAATTTAAGTACATTTAAATTCTTCCCCTTAGGAAATTCTTGAGCCTCCTGTTGGAGGTTCATTTTTCAGTAAAGATTTTCTTCCCAATGATTTCTCTTAATCTTTTATTGTACTGTAAATACAAGAATTTAAAAATCCAGCTCCTAGAGGGTTTATTCAATGTCTTCAATATTTTTTTGTATCATTTTGAACAAATGAAAACAAGATCCCAGAGACCTTAAATCCCTATTCTTTTGGATTCGATCTTTGAATGTATTTGTGGAAATTATGGTGTTTCTTCTAATTTATTATTTGAGGAAAGACATTTTTTATTAAAAATTGGGTTGAGGAGGAGTTAGAATAAGCATAAATTAACAGTAGGGTAAATTGCTGGAGTGGTCAGGTATAACCCATCCACTGCATAAATCACCCTTGGTTTACTTATCTAAAGGTCACAAAAAGAAGTTGGCATAGAGAAATTGGCAATATTGCTCTGATAATGACGGAAGTGCAGGCTTCTGAATTCTTCATGAAATATTTCATCAGCACAATTGAGACTAGTATGTCTGAATGAAGTCACATCAGATGTAGGTTTGTCTAGATAGGTGTCTGTGTGTGTGTGGAGGCGGGTGGGGGGGGCACCACATCACCTGAGTCAGGTGGACTTGTTAATCTCAAAGGTTTACAATATAAAATAAAACCATGGTACATGGTATAGTACAGTGCACTCAGGCATGACTATGCCCCTCATTTCTTACCCTCAACCTCCTCAGGCTAACACAGCTTGTCCCAACACTTCTCTGAAAACAGTTTTCTTACTCTGATGCCTCTGGGGGTCACAGCAACAGATTTGCAGTGAGAACACACAATTGACGCAGACCTCAAATTGAGTGCCGTTCATGGTTCTATTATCCCAGGTTTAATTCAATTATGTATCAACATGGGAAAATATTGACTTACCTTCTTTTTTGGTTGGAAACTTAAGGAGTATTAAATATTAGTGTTTTGAGGACGGTCACACAGCTCTCCTTAACAGTATCTTGCAACATGCCCAGAGGAGACTAAACTTTTTTTTTTTTTTTCAGTCCTTGGGTAAGGATCAAAAGTTTAAGCAGATGCCTTGGCAAAATATTTGTTAAATTGGGTTTTCTTGCTCTAGAAAGGAGAAATTTCACCCGCCACTCTTTTTAAAAATTTACAACTTAAAAAAATGACAAGTTGTAAGGAAATCAGGTCTTATCTTTTCTTAGACGTGCTGTCTCTTATATTATCACCTCCGTTTGGAGTCACCGCTTGTTGAAATCATACCCAAGCTTTAAACTGAATTGAAACTCTGTCTCCACTCTAATTTTCCAGATTCTCTGTATTTGGAGCTTCTAACTCTAGTGAGCAATTATTTTGGTTTCCTTGATGACTCCGAATTCCATAAGCACAACCCTATAAGCCACTAGAGTGCAGGGATCCTATCTTTTCCTATCATCTTATTCACCCCCTCTATCCCTCTGACCCCAGGCACAGTGCTTTCTCCATATTAAGTTTTCAATGAATATTTGATATAGGAATTAGCAAATATTTGATTGCTAGAAATCCTCTCTCATTTTGGGGGCAGCATCACATGTACACTTGGAAAAATTAAAGTTCTACATTTGAACTCTGAAGGTGTAAGAGTTGGGCAAGATCCGGGGGCCCATTAATAATTTCTCAATATTTTAGATGTTCAGTTACATTTCTTCCTCCTATTATTGCCATTTCTCTCTAGCTGCTCATACAAAGTAATTGGCTGTTAATTTTCTCAAAGACATTTTATTTTATTACATCAAGTTTTTCTGAATGTACCTGGTTAGCATAGTGCCTGGCATAGAATATTATAGGTGCTTAAAGCTGTTGTTGAAAGAAATAATAAAGTACATATTTAATGGATCTCCTTAGATAACATGCTCTCATTTCTTGAAATACTTACCTCTTCAGCATTTATTTCCACTAAGATCAGGACAATGTCTCACACATTGAAAGGGATGGTAAGATGGCTCCATTAATTCCCTTAGTCAATATATATGACTGTCCAGGAGCTATGGCCATAATGACCATAGAAATACAGAGACAGACTGATAAGAATATAAAACACAAGGGTTAGTATAATAGGCAGGTCCAAATTAGGACCTGTGTAGTGTGGGGGCCAGAGGCTCATGGATCCTCCCTAGAACCCATGAAGGTGGGAGGGTATTGGGGGTGACAGTGGGGGGTTACTGTTGTTCTGACTCCAGCTCAGCCATTCCTACCCATGCTCATCCCTGGATTTTGGGGGCTCTGCAAGACCACGGAAAGCCCTCAAAGCCCCTCTGTGACCCCTGACATTCAACTCTCTTTTCCCCTGACAACACAACCCAGAGGGTGGAGAGCTCTTACTTCTTTTTGCCCTGTCAGTAAGGGGCCTTTAATCTGTTTTAGCATGAAAAATTCATTAAGAATGTAGTCTTATTTCATCAGCGAAGCCCTCAAATTTTAAATTAAATCCATAGGTCTGGTTTAGCAACCGCCGTGCAAGATGGAGGAAGCAAGCTGGGGCCAATCAACTGATGGCTTTCAACCATCTCATTCCGGGGGGATTCCCTCCCACCGCCATGCCCACCTTGCCAACATACCAGCTGTCGGAGACCTCGTACCAGCCCACTGCTATTCCACAAGGTATGGAGGAGTCAAGTAGAATGTACTTCCTGATAGCTCTCCCTGCTGCTCATTCGGAGGAAGCCTTGGTGACACTGTTACCGTTTGCATGTTAATGACATTGCATCAGGTTGTCCTGAATGTCCCAGTCACATTTTAGAAACACAGTTTGTTTTGGGACATATCTGAATCTCTCTAGATAAATTGTGTTGTAATATCATCCCATTTCAGTATTTGAAAACAAAACAAAACAATGAAACCAAACAACTTTTCTTTAAAAAAAAAATGCGATTTGCTTTTCTTTTGTTACAAATTTTACCTCTACAATTGTACTCCAGTGTGAAATTCACTGAAGTTCCACGATGGGTACCAAGTACAGGGGTCATTGAGGGAAGGTAAACTTTGACAAAGGCACTGTTTGTTGGCACATAGAGGTGAATGGGATAAATAAGACGAAGCTATTTTGGATTATGAAAGATAGCATTCTAGGCGGTCGAAACTATACTATTGCACTAATACTGAGATGCTTTGAAAGTATATTTGCTAAAGAAATTTGAGACTTGCAACTCTTACATTGGTTAATTCTTATGTTGATTAATAACATTCGCTACCCACATAGGTTTGCTAGCCTTGTTAATGTGGTTTCTGAATTTCTATTCTGGGTGACTTTGCCATGAAAGTATATAAATCAGTTATGTACTTGCACATATGTGCGGAGGTATTCCCATGTTAAGAAATGGGACGGGTGGGTGCGGAGTGGAGGGGGTCAATGGGAAAAAAAGGGGACATCTGTAATACTTTCAACAACAAAGATACATTTAAAGAATAAAAAAAATAGAAATGCAGTTGGAAGTGAACATGTGGCCGATGGTGTGGTGCCTGTGAGCTTTGGCACTGCACTTCCTACAAGGGAACTTGGTGGCTGACCATCTTCTTCATTGCAGCCGTGTCAGACCCCAGCAGCACTGTGCACAGACCTCAGCCGCTCCCCCCGAGCACCGTACACCAAAGCACTCTTCCTTCGAACCCGGACAGCAGCTCTGCCTACTGTCTCCCCAGCACCAGGCATGGATTTTCCAGCTACACAGACAGCTTTGTGCCTCCGTCCGGACCCTCCAACCCCATGAACCCCGCCATTGGCAATGGCCTTTCACCTCAGGTCAGTCCCGTGTTTCCAGACAGATGATTTGCTGTATACCAGAACCAAACAGTCAATTCCCCCAGGCAGCGGTATAATGAATTGCCAAATTTAAACCATAATGTATTCCTTATATGAGCCACATGATTTCAGTTTTCTAGCTTCCTTTCTCTCCAGCCTTCCTATGGGGCTGTATCAAAAGTTGCAGCTTAAACTTAAAATTCAAGTGATTCATAATGGAATCAGGGAGATTTCCGTTTAGACGTAGTTGTCAAAGTGTTTGTCGTTTCTACTCCTAGTTCTGGTCTTTGGGTAAGAAACTCACACACACTTAAAAACATGGTATTTGGTCAGCTGAGAGAGTTGTGAACCAAAGCAACTAATAAAGCACCAGATTTTATAAAAACAACTGGGAGGAAGCAAACAAGTTGTGTGAGGAGAGACCCAGCTGATGACTACAGAACTCTGGTGTAAATGAGTCATAAATGCCTGAATTAGGAGAATTGCTGCTCCTTGGGAATATAGAGATATTTGAATATGGTAATTGTTTTTCTAATTTGCATTGGACTATGAGCTTTTCTTGAGAGATCATATTAATAAATTGCCTTATAATTGCATGTCAGAGGGTTGGTTAAATTTCCTACATGTGGCATCTGTCTGGGGTTGACATTATTAGCAGTTGTTTAAATACAGATCGCTTGATTTTATTAGAGAGCTCTTGGCCCAGGTGGTGAGGAGAGCTGCCCACTAAACTTGGAGAAATGTCACAAAGGGGTGGCAATCTATAATTGCGATCGAGAATCTCTTCGGGGCTGAGAGTGAGAGTTTTAACAGCTTTATCTTTCCTTAACCGCCTTTTTCCTCTTGGTGGTTAGAAAAACAGAGAAAAGCTCAGAATGACACAAATGAAAAGTGAAAAGACAATTATAGTCAATTACACACTAATCAGTGACTATCACCGCTGCCTAAGCACTGAGAGGGCATTCTAATAGGCAGAAAATGAGATTTTAATGGCACAAAGGGTGGCCAAAATAACGACTCATATATCTTCGCCTTCTTCGTTCTCTTCAACTTGTGGTTTGCGTCCTGGGAGTGGAGTTCCTGGGCTCTGCACAACAGTGATAACTCTGAGCAGCTAAAAAGTTCAAAGCCGTTGGAGTTGAAAAGAATGAATAGTAAAGGCAATGAAATAAACATTTCTGCCTAAAGGCAAAAGTTCATAAATCCTTTTTTGTAACAGTGAATGTAATTAAGTTTCATAGATTCCTATAGCACATTCTGGGATAAAAAGAAAAAAAAAAAAGAGAAAAAAGAGGTGGATTTAAACCTCAGCTGAAAATAACAACATGAAAACAATCAATGTGCTTCCTACTGAACTTTAGTGCATTGAATTTGCAAGTGCTGGCATTTATAAATGTGGTTCTGCATGAACATGGTGGACTTATAGATGCATCATTAAGTGCTCAAATTTATAGCATGTAAGCATCTTCCACAGTTTAGAAGTAATGTCAGAGTTATCTCTGCAGTTTTAATAATATAAGTGGTTTTGGGCCATGGAAAAGCTTTTTATGAATGTGATTTGATTGAAAGTTTTAATAAAAATAAACTTTAAGCCTAACTACTTCTGGAAGGTGAGACCCAGGATTGTCTCAGTATTTTTTAGTGTTCAACCATCGCAAATACAAGGACACAAATGTCTATTCTATCTGTGAAACTGCTAGCTTTTAATAAGTGTGTCACCTTGCATATTCTAAGAAGGGTATTTTATTGCATTATATAAGCATTACAAAAGTGGAATTATTAGCACTTGACCTTGAAACTGTTAATCCTTGATTTTCAAGAAGCCTGGCTATGATTCCAGACTTGGCAGTAGGGTGGGAATCGTTCCAATATCAAGCAGTGGAAAATTCCACAGGCAAATTTTTCTGTATTTCTTTACTATGCTCCTATATATTATGTTAATCCCTTCCTTAAAACATTGCAAATACTCAGGATATTTTGCATTTCTGCCACACATTTCTGTCTCAAACCACCAATGTGAATGCATGTTGTCTTAGTTCTGATAGCATCCCCAAATAATTAGGAAAGGAATATGAAGCTTCTTATTTCCTCACACAAAACTGAAGAATGAAAGTCAACATCTCATCAAACATCTTTGCAAAATGAGGGACTAGAAAACTTGGGCATTAGAACTCATATTTTTACAGCTTTTGGGATTTATCACTCCTCTGGAATGCCTCTATTCAAGCAAGTGAGGGGTATCCTTGTTTGTAGTTATCTGGATTTATTAAAAATATTATGAAGAAAATTTGAAAACAAAACAGCCTGGTTTACCTGTAAGCTAAAGTAGAGAAAGGGTGGTGACCCTTTAGTCTTATTGCTTATTTTATAGAAGAGCTTATTAATACATTAGACCATATAATATTAAAATAAAACTAATCTTATTATTAGCTTTCTTCTTTTCCTTTCACTCTTCCACTTCCTCTTCCTCTATCTGGACATCTAAGATGCAGACATATCCACTGGAGTTTCAGAGAGCTCATGGTCACTGAAGGCCACAGGGCTGTTAGTGAGAGAATTGGGACTAGAACCTGGGATTCTTGGCTTCTGGTCTTGATCTTGTCCATTTTAGTCCATTCATGGTTGAATGGAGAGGAAACAGTTTTTATGAAAAATAGAGGCAGGGGTCTTCAGTCATATTTTAAAATCGTTTAGTAGAAACTAGCTTTCTAAACTTTTTGGGGTTCAAGTTAATTTACACTCTTTGTGCTAATACACTCCTTTTTTATTTTTGCTTTACACATTTTTTTCTATCAATCTTCAAACTTCAGCTAATAATTCAGTATGCTTATTGTAGAAAATGGAAATCTTTTTTTTTTCAAGTTTCTTTAGAGTAGAAAACATTTACCCTGGGCAACCACTGCTAATATTTTTGCCTATTGCCTTCTAGCTCTTCCTTTTGGGTCGTATGCTCTTAAAAAATTATGCCTGAGATAGTGGTGTATATAACTTTGTATCTTGTCTTTTCTCTAACTTTGCATTTCTCTATAGACCTTTTTTTTTTAAATGGAATTGGAGCTAAAGTTATTTGAGTCATTATGATCAATTCATTGTAGGATATTTGATCTGTTAAAATACATGTGTCTTTTATTTGACTTTTTTCCTAGTGTCATTGAAATTGATGGGTCATTTGCTATTCAAACTTGAAAATCTTGAGTTAGAAGGTGTGAAACTTGTTTGATGGGCTTTTTTATTTCTTGTCAAGTTAATAGATACCTTGTTTCTCTGTATGTGTTGACTGTAGTTGCTTTTTTGCATGGGAGGGGTTGTTGCTAATCTATCTGTCCCCTCAAGCAAAGATTTTTCTAAAGCTTGGAATCAAAGTCATTATCCAAGTGTTTGTTGGGTACCCTCAGTCCTTCGCTCAGGGAAGGTCTCAGCTTTGAGAAGGGTGCGTTTGTGAAGCAGGGACTCAGAAGGCCACACCTGCCCAGGTGCTGATGTTGTAGCAGCAATGGACTGACATGCACTTATGACATTATAAACCTCAGAATATTGATCAAAATTCTTAGAAACTTTGTTCATATCTTTCCTCAAGTTCTGAAAGGGTCTGTGCATCACTGAATTGCTGGCAAGTTTATCTTGTTCTGAGGGAATCAGTAACTATACCTGAGAACAGTCCCACTTATCTTATGGAAAAACTGAGGCCAATGCACACAATCACAGAAATGACAGGAGAGTTATCACCAGAGTTAAGAGCCAAACCCATCTCTCTTCCCCGTGTTACTAATTCTTCTATAAACGGAAACTGTGCACTTCACTTGCTGAGGAAGCACAACATCCCAGAAAGTTTTCCACGGGCTCGCCCTGGCACTGATGCTCACCCCGATGTTCCCGTAGGCATGACTGAAAGGCTATGAATGGGAGTGTTTGGCCTCCCATTGCCTCAAAGACTGGATCTGTCCAGTATCTTGAGGTGAGGTTCTCAGTGATGGGTGAGGGATAGGAGAGGCTAATGACCTCAACACGTTCTGCTGTCTCTGAATTGTATTTTGTTTGAACTACATAACCCTTTTAGGAGATGGGGGCTTATATAACGAAGGACAAAACACCTTCTGAGAAGAAAACCATTCAACTCACTCTAGAGAGGAATTTCCCCGCAGTACCTGCATTCTTTTGAAAGGTTGTGTTCTCTTGGTGCGAAACAATAGAGAAAGAACACAGGGAAACAAAGACAAAGTATTTCCCCTCTACACCCAGATGAATGTTACCAGCACCTTCCTGCATGTGCAGGAGAGAAAAAGGAATGTTAACTTGGAATAGGGAGGGCCAAGGAAATACTACCACATGCTCAAGACACGAGACTAATTAACATGCTCTTCTAATTAACTTCCTTTGTGAGAAACACTACCCTCACCGTTCCCCCACCTCCAAAACACACACAGCCAAACCCGAGAAACAAAACCTATTACATTAACAACCTTTTATTGTTTCACGCTCGACCCCCACCCCACTTCTACAAACTCCACAGTGTTTGGCGACAGCTTGTAATGATTTCTTGAGTGACATACAGTATCAGTGGGTTACAGGGAAGCTTTTTAAAAATTGTTATGTAGCATACAAAAATGGGCCACTAGGCTGCATTTAGGGTTCACCAACCATTGCAAATGATTCTTCAAATGTTTTGGGTTTGGTAAAACCTAAAACACATTTTGCCAAGTACTTTTCCTCCTTAATTTTTCAAACTGCGTATTTTAGGGAAAATTTGACCCATATGGTTTTGATTCATTTACTCATATCATTGACTTTTTTTTCCTCCTTATGGAGCCATTTGATATCCAAGAAGCTTTCTGAGCCGTTCTTATGTTCATTTTAAGCATTTCCCTTCTTAAAAAGAGGAAGTCCCCTTTGCAGCCTCAGAGGCCATAAATTTTGAGTACTCTCTCAGTTCAGCCATATTTAAGAATACATTTGGTATAAATCTGGATTATTATGAACACATTTTATGTTTAGAGCAGATG